AAAGAAAAGATGTAGTTAAGTGGTAGATTCTCAACAGGGTTTTGACAGAGTTTGAAGAGCCACACTGCTGATGTCACATTTGACATGACAGTAAGAATCGGGCTGTCAACGATACACTCTCCTGTAACTGCTGGTGGACTTGAACCCTTCAAGAGTCTTGTTAGAATGAGGAAATCTTGGGGATCCACTACAGTTTCTGATTGTGATATCATATTCCTTGTGTAACAGCTCATGGTGTCTAGTGTTGGCTCTGGACACTGTGCAGAGCAGAAGATTGAGATCTTGTGAAATGTCAGCGTGGATGAGAAACGATCTTCCTCATCCAAATAAACATGCATTAGGTAGGTGGAGCACATGTATTAGATAGGCAAGTTCATGTGAATTTTTCTATATAAAAGATATAACTTTCTACACCTTGGTGTGCTTGATTTGTGGAAACCTTGTGCTGGTTTAAAGGTAAACCGGCAGGGGAAATGCATTCAACTCAAAAGAGATTATAAGAATAACAATTTAATAAAAATAATACAATTATACAGATGAACAATTGGTTTTAGTCCACAAAAACCCAGATGTATAACCCAGCACCCTGGGGCATGTTGTTCATTGGCTCCTGTGCTGAGCCCCACATGGTCCCCTGAGTCCAAAAGTAAAAGTAGAGGAAAAAACCTATTGGTGCGAGTGATGGTCGAAGTCCTGTGGAGAGTAGTGGTCTCAGTCTGGTTGAGAGTAGTAGTCGCAGTCCGGTTGAGGTTCTGGTCCTCCTCTGGATCCCACAAATGGTACCAGAAGTCCCAAGACCCCAAGATTGTATACCCTCAGGTTCAGGCAGGAATGGCCAATACCTCCCCCATGCCAGGGAGTTCCACAATGGGTGATTGTGAGTCACGGGTGTGAGAACAGGGACAGACTCCTCTCACAGGCGTCCTAACACCCGGCTTATAGCCTGAGGGGTCGGGTGTGCTCTGGGCGGCTGCTGCAAATGGTCTATTGTTAACAGTTTCTGGGAAATGACGTGCAGGGTGTAGAATACACAGGTTGGGTTACACCCACATAGTGATGAACTGGTCTAAGACAAACCTCCACCTTGCACCCTGCACAGAATAAACGTTTCCTTTATAAACTAGATTCTATGTCTGTGTTTAGAGAGCTCGTAAAATTGGCAACAGTGTGAGGGTGCTGGTGGTCTCCATAAAGATGCCCTTTCCCTGGCACCCACGGATGGATTAGGAAGGGGGTAGGGTTTAGGCAGCTCCTCACACACAGGTTTGGGATGGAGGTCCATCCACAGAGTGACGGGGGCCCTGCAGCACATCCCTTCACCATTGCTGTGGGGCTGTCAGGATAGGGGACTTTGTCCTGGGGCCTATTGCGGGGACATGTGGGGGATCCCTCACAGAGAGGCTGTGGGACCCTCATACGGAGGGATGTGGGAGACACCCCCCAATGGAGGCCATGGGGACCCTACAGGTGCCATAGGGACCCTCATATGGAGAGATGTAGGGATCCCCCCGTCACACGGAGGAATGTGGGGACCCCTCTCACACGGAGGAATGTGGGGACCCCTCTCACACGGAGGGATGTGGGGACACCCCTCACACAGAAGGATGTGGGGGATCCCCCCTCACACGGAGGGATGTGGGGACTCCCTCAGGTGCCGTGGGGATCCTCATACGGAGTGATGTGGGGACTCCTCTCACACGGAGGGATGTGGGGACTCCTCTCACACGGAGGGATGTGGGGACACCCCTCACACAGAAGGATGTGGGGGATCCCCCCTCACACGGAGGGATTTGCGGATCCCCCTCACGCAGAGCGGGCCCGGCCGTGCGGGCGGCTCCGGCCGCGGGGGGGCGCTGCCCGCCCGTGCCCGCCCGTCTCCGCAGAGCGCGGCCATGGCGGGCGCCGTGCGGGGCCCGGGCGGGGGAGGCGCCGTGTGCCGCTCCCGGGACCCCGCCGTGTACCGCTCCCGGGACCCCGTCCGCAACCTGCGCCTGCGGTGAGCACCCGTTTGCCCCCGGCCCGGCCCCGGCGGCCCGCACAGCCCTGACGCTCCGCTCCCTCCCCGCAGGGTCCGCATCCAGCGGGTCGCGCCCGCCGGGCCCGTCCTGCCGCAGGCGCCGTCGCCGCTCGCCGGCCCCGAGCGCCCGGGCCGGGCCGGCAGCGCCGCCGGGGAGGGAGCGGTGCCGCTGGCGGTGATCCGGGCCTCTGCCGCGGGCGCCCGGCGGCCCCCGGAGGACGAGGAGGAGGAGGCCGAGGTGGGGTGGCAGGAGAAGCTCTTCAGCCAGGTGGGTGCGCGGAGGGGGCGGGAGGGGCTTCACGGAATGGGTCAGGTGCGAGGGGATCACGGAGGTCATCCAGTCCGACCCCCCCTGCACAGGCATGGTTCCCTCAGCATGGTGCTCAGAAATGTGTGCAGTCGGCTTTGGAATATCCCCAGTGAGGAGACTCCACACCCTCCTGGGCAGCCTGTTCGGTGCTCAGTCACTGCGCAGGGAAGTTCTTCCTCATGTTCAGGTTAAACTTCCTGGGTATCAGTTTCTGCCCGTTGTTTCTTGTCCCGTTGCTGGGCATTCCCGAGCAGAGCCTGATCCAGCCTCTGACACCTCCTTGCAGTCACTGATAGACATTGATGAGGTCCCCTCTCAGCCATCTCTTCTCAAGGCTGAACAGCCCCAGCTCCCTCCGCCTTTCCTCATAAGGAAGATGCTCAGTCCCCTCATCATCCTCACAGCCTCTGCTGGACCCCCTCCAGGAGCTCCATGTCTCTCCTGTAGTGAGGAGCCCAGAACTGAACAGGCTGGGGTGAATTCCTGACACCCTTTCTGCACCTCCATGTGGGCTCCCCTGTTTCAGGGTGAGCTGCTGTGCCTGAGCCCTTCCAGGCGGGCATTGGTGGGTGCTCTTGGCTGCCACGTGCCTGAGCAGTGTGGGAGCTGCTCCAGAGCTCAGGTTATTTGATGGGATTCCCAAAGAGTCTTGTCTCTCTGGTGGCTTTGGAAACCGCAGCTGAAAGGTGTGTGTGGCTCTGCCAGTGCTGGTGAAAGGCGGCTGTTGTGCTTTACCTGTGGTGCTGTCAGTTTGAGGTGGATCTGTACCTGAATGAGTCAGCCTGCCAGACTCCCCTGGACCGGCAGTACCATGAGGAGATCCGGAAACTGGAGAAGGCTGGAGGTCGGAAGAACTATCGCATCTTCACCTACACCGACCATGACCGATTCACCAACCTAGAGGAGGTACCAGCTCCTGGTTACTCTGTGTCCATCAAAACTTCCAGGCCTACTGCAGAGGGAACATTTGTTGGTTCTTGGCCCTGCAGAAGCCAGGCAGATACCCTGAGTGCAGGAGAAAGCACTGCTGCAGAGCAGCTTCACCTGGTGCCCCAGACTTGGAGTGGGGTGTCCCTGTTTCAGAGCAATGGTTGGGACAGCTCAGAGGGACTCAGTTTTGTAGCACTGCTCTGTAGGTAGCTCACAGGGTGGAGTGAACTGTACTTTGCCACCAGAACAGTGAAGGAATTCTGCAGTCATTTAGAAGTTTGTGCTTGCCTGTGACCGTGTACATACCTGTTCCTTCTCCAAGAGGAGAGGTGTGTTTGGGAAAGATGTCCCAGTACAATTAAGTTAGTTCCTGTCTGTTTTCTCTTGCAGCTCTGCCAGAAGGTAACTGACTCTGATCATGAGGTGCCCTCGTATCTGGCTGAGAGGATGGCCAATGTGAGGAGGAGAAGACAGGACCGTAGGCCAGTGTGAGTGCAAACTGGGGCTCAGAGCTTGCCCATGCAGGTTTCCTGGTGCTGGGGCCCCAGCTGTGGATCAGCCTGGTCTGTGGGAGCGGGAGGCTTTGAGCTGTGTCACACATGGAATCCAGCAGTGGGACTCCTCGTCGTGGGGGGGTTGATGCTGCTGAGCTGAGCTGTGACTGGTGCTGTTCCGTTGTTCACAGAGAAGCGAGTTCTCTGAAGTCGAAAATCATCACCTGGGAACCCTCGGAAGAATTTATAAAGAACAATCATGTGATTAACACACCTGTCCAGACCATGTACATCATGGGGGACTTGGGACCTTATGGGAAGTAAGTAAAATCCTGAAGAGATCTAACTTTCCCAAAAGGAAACCCATCTTCGCTCCTTACTCAAATCTCCTGTTTCTTTCACTAGTTAAGGGGAGAAAATTCCAAGAGCTCAGTAACCCAGGCTGCAATTTCTTTCTGCCTCTTTCCTCACTCATTTGGGAGGTAGCTGAGTGTATCCCTCCAAAATGCTTTTAGGAAAGTATGTGTGTGTTTATTCCCTTCTGTACTTCCATGTGCCTTTACCAGCTCTGCTGTTCCAGGGCACGAGAGAGTCTGTGCTCTCTGTTTAGGCTGTGTTTTCTTGATTTCTTCCTTTAGGCTTGGTCACAGAGAGTATGAACATGTTCTTTGCACAATCAAGGTGGATGGCAATGGGGTGATCACTGTGAAGCCTGATTTCACTGGCACAAAAGGACCCTACCGGTGAGTGGGACAGGGCTGGGACCTCTCCTGGGACTGGTACTGGGGGCTGAAATGTTTGTTTCCTGATCACCCTTCAAGCACAGGATCAGCACTTAAATTGAGAGATATTTTTTATATTTATTCCAGAGATTTCTAAGAAAAGCTTATTGTCTCCTTGTGCCTGGGGCCACTTCATGTGTGACTGTGGGGCTTTGGTGCCAGTCCCTAGGGATGCAGGTTATCATAGAATCATGGAATGGTTTAAAGGGACCTTAAAGATCCCATCCACCCCCTGCCGTGGGCAGGGACACCTTCCACTAGACCAGATTGTTCCAAACCTGGCCTTGGATACTTCTAGGGATGGGACAGCCACAGCTTCTCTGGGCAACCTGTGCCAGGGCCTCCCCACCCTCACAGGGAACAATTTCTTCCAATATCTAACCCTTGCCCGCAGTCAGTGTGAAGCTGTTCCCCCTTGTCCTATCACTACATCCCCTTGTAAAATTATGTTACGTATATGCCAGACACAAATGAGTCTCCCTTTTTGAGGGAATGATGCTGGCAGGCACCTGGGAGGAAGGAAAGGGCTGTGAGTGCCCTTGGGAGCGAGGAGAGGGCTGTGAGTGCCTTTGTCTCACTGCAGAGGCCTGGTGGAGGGGACACTGCTGGGTCAGGGGACACTGCTGGGTCAGGAGAGCCCTGTCGATGCCTGTGCCTATTCCCTGCATAATGGAGGAGTTTTTCCCATGTGTTTTGGGGTGCTGCAGGATCGAGCTGGATGGAGAGAAGCGAGAGGTGTGGGAATACACCATCGAGAATGCCTCTGCCCAGGTGCAGCCAGAGGAGGAGGAGCGTGAGCAGCGCATGTTCAGAGACGTAAGGACCGGCCACTGAGCGTGTTCACTGGTTCTGAGTGACAGAGGCACTGCCAGACCCTCCTGGCAGATGTAACTGCTAGTGCTGTGCACACCTGAGGTGACAAAATGTCACTGGCAGGGAGCCTCATCATGCCCAGGAATTTTAGAACTCAGACAAACACTCCCTGACTGCTTCATACCTTATGGACACCTTGTCTGTTGTTGTCCTGGCCCTGCCTGCAGTGATCTATGGAGTGAGAACTGATGCAAGAAACCACCCAAATTCGTACCTTCCTTATGTCACCTGCCAGTGTTTTTCTTTCCATTTTGAGCAGTGGGCAGATTCTTCCCTTGATCTTTCTCTTGCTGCCTGTATATTTGTTGACTGATTTCTTGTTACCCATTATGTCCCAGGATATTGGGATATCATTTCATGCCTCGATCTTTCTGAGTTGCCTATTTGGCTATGACAGTTTATAGAAGTACTTAATATTTTAGTTCTTCATTTGTACATTCCCTTATTATTTTTGTGCTCACCAAGGAAACTGTGATTTCCCTATGCTGATCTCTTTCTGTTGACTTCATTGGAATAGTTTGTGCCTGTGTTTTTAAGATGCCACTTAAGATCTGATTCTTCAGAGCTTTTTATCCCTTAAAATTGGCCTTTGAGAAGATCTTTTCTGAAGCTGAAATTCTGTGCAGGGGTTAGCAGTTATGCATCCTTGTTCTATTGGATCCTTACATTCTCTTTATGTGCTGTAACAATTAAACCCCACGTATGCTAAGCCTGGCAGCAATTTAAGTTGAGTTTAAATGATACCCACTACAATTTTTGTGCTAAGTAACAATCAGTATATTCCAAGCCCACTTTTTTGTCGTTGTTGTTGTGTGTGTTTCCAGCTCTACGGTCGGCACAGGGATTACCTCAATGGGCTCGTGGGCTCAGAGTTTGAAATGGTGAGTTCCAGAGGCTGCTGGCAGGGACTGGAGCCTCTGCTGGCCCTGGGGACTGGTGACCTGGCTCACGTGGCTGCCACTTGCACCACAGTCTCCAGAGACTGTTTCATTCTGGGGCAGTGATTGCTATTAACTTCTCAAGTGTCAAAAACTTTTATGTGCCACTTTATGCAAGTTAACAGCCCCTTTCACCCCCAGACTCATTCATAGTTTCCCTTTTCACTGAATTACCCAAACTGCAATCTTTTTTTTGTTCAAATTTTGTTTGCCAAAGTGTGAAAGTTGAACTTTCCAGTACTTTGATAGAGTGTCCCAGCTCGTCCTGTGCTTCCCCCTGCTCCCCCACCCTGGGTAAGTGCAGAAACATGACAGGAGAAACAGGACTATGATTTCTGCAAGTGACTTTTCACTGCATGTTATATCCATCTTGAAGTCTGTAAGAAACTTATTTATGTAATAGTGAACTCCTGCAGTCTGGGATTTGGGGGATTTGATGTCTTTAGAGCCTTTCTCCAGAGGGACTGTTCACTCCCTGGCCATCATTCCTGTCAGGATATCCATGAAATACTGGTGTGAGAGGCTGTTGGGAAAGGATTGTTGAGGTTCCACCAGTGGTCACTGAGCTCTTTTGTCTTGTTTATCTGCTTGTTTTTTCAGCCTCTTCCTGGTACTCTCAGACTTTTTGTGAATGGAGAAATAGGTGAGTCCTTATTCTAAACAGTGATAGGGGCAAATATGGGTGTGCTGGGATGGCTGAGACTATGAATGGTCCAAGGATTCTTGGATCGTAGGCTGGTTCAGAATAGGTGATTGTCTCCCTAGAATCCTTTACTTCCTTCTTCTCCTCCCTATTTCTGCAGACTAAGCCCTTGAGAGGCATTTACAGGATGCAGGTTACAAATGCTGCAGCTGTTCTAGGAAGACCTAGATCTCAAGAAGAGGAGAGCAGATTGCTATAATCTCTATTAACTTCCCAAAGAAACCAGTTAAACATGTGACCTCCCTCATATGGTTAGTGATATGGAGACAGGGCTAGTCTGGAGAGGGAATCTTATCTGAGGATCATCTCCTGGCTTTTTCCAGCTTCCAGCAGTAACAGGTTATTGGTGCTGGCTCTCCCAAAGTCTGCAGCGACTGCTGAAGGAGTTTGTGTTGAAGCAAACAGCTGAAGTTCATTCTCTCTTCTTCTCAGTTTCAGCTCAAGGCTATGAGTATGACAACCTTTATGTGCATTTCTTCCTGGAGCTTCCTAACCGTAAGTATTCCCATTTCCAGCCACATCACAACAGTTTGAGGAATAAAACAGGCTTTGGCTCCTCTGTCAGACCATATCTGCTGGGAGTCAGCAAAAGCTGATGCTGGGGTTGGGATCTAGTCAGAGGTCTTCAGAGCTAAAATGGCAGAACTCAACTGTTTGAACTAAACTCAGGCCTGGGAGAAAGTAGCATCTTCCTTCTCATCACTTCCAGCTCAGACTGGGACACAGAGGTGGTAGTGGTCAGCAGTCTGTCCAAAGTTCATTCCTTGTCCTGCAGAGAACAGCCTTCCTGTCCTCTCCATCACAGCACTGACCTTGTCTGATTTCACTGCTCACCATCCTGTTTTGTGCTGACTCTGACATATTCCATTTTGATGGATAAATAAGGCTCCCAGCACTGACATGCACATCCTGCTGCATGTTCAGGTCCCCTGGAGCTGTGGCTCTGGCTCCCCTCTCTGGTTATACCTGGATGTTTATCCAAAGAGAGACTGCTGCTGCTACTCAGTACATTTAGTTGAGGTTCTGCTTTGCTCTTGAGATGAGTTGGTGCTTTTCATGGAGAGTTCAGGGTGTTCTGAGGAGCAGCCAGTGGCTGGAACAGGACAGGGTGGGACATGCCAAGGGAAAAGTCGTATGAGGAGCAGCTGAGGGAGCTGGGGGGGCTCAGCTTGGAGAAAAGGAGGCTCAGGGGTGAACTTTTCACTCTCTGCAACTCCCTGACAGGAGGGGGGAGCCGAGGGGGTTCAGGCTCTGCTCCCAGGGAACAAGGGACAGGACAAGAGGAAACAGCCTCATGTTGTGCCAGGGGAGGTTGAGGTTGGATATTAGGAAGAATTTCTTCATGGAAAAGGTGGTCAGGCACTGGAAGGGACTGCCCAGGGAGGTGGTGGAGTCCCCATCCCTGGAGGTGTCCAAGGAATGACTGGCCATGGCACTCAGTGCTCTGGGCTGGGGGACAAGGTGGGCATTGGGCACAGGGTGGACTCGATGGCCTGAGAGGTCTTTTCCAACCTCAGTGATTCTGGGATTCTGTGAAATTCCATGTGGGTGTTGTTACTTGTTTCCCCAGTCACTGGAGACTGACACTGTCCTTTGAGCTGCTCTGGTTTGTGAGTTTGGTCTCACCCCAAGCCTTCACCACTGTGTTCACCTTCTCCTCTCCCCTCAGAGTGGTCAAGCCCCCCATTCCAGCAGCTCTCAGGAGTGACACAGACCTGCACCACCAAGAAAGTGGGCTGGGTAAGGACACTTTCAGATCTGCAGAGCAGTTTGAACAGGCAGTCTCTGGAGTGGAACATGTGTAACAAACTACAGCAAAGGACCAGCAAAGGTCCTGACTTGATAGCTCCTTTCAAGAGCAGAGCATGTTTGGGATTCTCCTCATTCTAATTACACTTGCCATTTTTCCAGGGGGCTACTGTCCAAGTAAAACTAAATCAAATAAAGCTACTCCAAAGAAGTTTCTGAAACCTCACTTTTTTCTTCCTTCTGGATGACTGGTTTCCTTTGGAGCTTTGATTTTTGTGTTCTCCAATGCTCTGAGTTAACAAATCATTGTTCTGGCTTGCCTGGGGCAGGAATGCACACAGTCTCTACACTGATTTCCCAAAATGAATTCTTATCTGGGAAGTTGGTTCTGTTCTGTCTCCAGCTCCTCTCCTAGAAAATTTGAATTTTATCAGCTTTTTGATGTCTTTTATGTGATCTAGTTTGCATATTACAGAAACAATTATCATACAACATTTCAATAATACCATTGTTTGAGGTAGTCTGCTTGGCTCCTGTAGAGGTTGTGGCAGTTCAGTAGTTATGCAAGTGACTGAGCTGTCATTTGAGGTGTGTTACTCATTCCCCTTTTCCATTATTTTTAACAGCCTGTTCCATCCACATGGCACTAGGGAGTGTATCCAGGTCCATCCTGCAGCCAGGTGTTTGTTAGTGGGATTGATTGGTCATGTTTGGGCATCATTACCTGCTTTCCACCATTAGTTCCTTTCTCCCTGCTTTCTCTGCTCCCTGCAATGCTGGTGATGAATTCTCTTGTCCAGGAATCTGATCTCTGTCCTGTTCCTCTTCCAGGATAAGGTGGCATACTTTTGCTACCCCTTCACTGTGGAGATGTTTTACACCCTAGAAGATGAAGGTGTGTTTCCTTGTTACTCTGAAATCCTTTGACTCCAGTGCACCCATCCTGCTGTCTGGCCTGTTGGGGATGAAGGAACAGAGGGAGATGTTTCTGGTTCAGCAAAGGTTCACCCTGTCACCACACAGCCCCTAGACACATCCCTGTTTGCCCTGCCCAGGAATCCATTAGCATTTGTATGGATCCATTGATGTTGACCTGCTGCAGGCAGCTTTCTCCAGTTGCAAAACCACTTGGATCTTGGTTTATCTGTCCCAAAACCTGGCGTGCTGGGCTGTGTTGCTGTTCCTGGGATGCTGCAGCAGGAGAACCAGGCAGCTTTTTTGTACACAACTTAAACCCTGTGCTGAGTCTTATGTTTGTAGACAAGCTCAGTGACCTGTGTAATCCTTGTATAGTTCATGTCACTTTGAAACTTCAGCTCTGTTTTAAACTGGGCTTCTCTGCTGCCTGTTCCTGCTGCTCCCTCACCCATCCCATTGCTCTGTGGATGCAATTGCTAGGGACAGCTCTGTGGCCTGCCTTGCCACTTGAATCCAGTGTACAGTTTGGATTTGGGTATTCAACCAGCACTGATGAATTTTCAACCTACAGAAGAAACACAATGAGTTTATTTCTTTGTGGAAAAAAGAAATGCTTGGAGAGATGTAGGAGAATCCAGGTTAATAATCCCCCAGTAATGTTGGGAAAGGTCAGAGATAAACAGGTTCCCCCAGTTGGCATCAGATCATTCATGAAAGATTGTCTTGTCTGCTCAAATTATTGAGGACCGAGTTTGGACTTGCTGTTAAAGATTCTCCCTAATTTTTAACTTCAATAATTCTGTTCTCATCCTCAAATCTGAGGGTTCAGCTTTTACAGGGGAAAATAATCAACCGTAAATCCTTGTAGAAGAAATACAAAAATGACTGTGGTAGAAGGGTGCTGGATTGTGTCCAGAGAAGGGAACAGATGTGGTGAAGGGTCTGGAGCATAAGTCATGTGAGGAGCAACTGAGGGAGCTGGAGGGGCTCAGCCTGGAGAAAAGGAGGCTCAGGAGGGACCTTTTCACTCTCTACAACTCCCTGACAGGAGGAGGGAGCCAGGGGGGGTCGAGCTCTGCTCCCAGGGAACAAGGGGCAAGACCAGAGGGAACGGCCTCAAGTTGTGCCAGAGGAGGTTCAGGTTGGATATTAGGAAGAATTTCTTCTAGGAAAGGGCTTGACAGCATTGGAAGGGGCTGCCCAGGGAGGTGGTGGAGTCCCCATCCCTGGAGGTGTCCAAGGAATGACTGGATGTGGCACTCAGTGCTCTGGGCTGGGGGACAGGGTGGTGATGGGTCACAGGGTGGACTCGATGACCTGGGAGGTCTTTTCCAACCTAAATGATTCTCTGATTCTTTGACTTCCTACTAGTGGTGTTGGACATTTAGCATTTTGTTTCTCAGTGATAATCTCCTTCACAAAGCTGTGACCTGCTCCCCTCCTTGCAGACAGTCTCCCTCAGTGGCCTGTTCTCTACTTCGAGGTCCTATCCCTGGATTTCTGGCAGAGGTATCGTGTGGAAGGATACGGGTCCTTGGTGCTGCCAGCATCTCCAGGTAAAAAACATCCTTGGGGCATTGTTTTAATTGTCTGGGAGAAGGAGTTGAGTAGTTCTTTTGGGAATGAATTCAGCTGGTCCCAGGGGTTCAGTGCACTGAAGGGGGTAATTAGGTGTCTGAGGGGCAGCAAAGAAGGATGGGATGCATCCTGCACCATTCTGCCTTTATTTCGAGGCACATCATGTGTTGCTGTCCTTGCTCCTTTGGTGGTTCCATCACAAAATGTGGTGTGATGAAGCTCTGGGGTGATACTGCACATCACTTTGTGTCCCACATGGGATCTGGGGGTGACCTGGGTGTTGTGAGGAGACGCTCCTGGTGGACAGGGAGTACTTTCAGCGCTGGCTGTGTGATTGGAAGGGGCTGACTCATGGTGGAAAATGTTTGTAGAACATTTTTGATAGTGTGCAGTGTTTTCATTTCCAGCCAGCTGTGGTTTGGGTCAGCATGCTTCCCTCTGTGACTCTGAACAGATCACTGGTCACAGCACCTAAGCTGTCCTCTTGTCCTGGCCCAGGTGTCCACGAGCTCACCATCCCTACCTGGCGCCCCGTGGAGCTGGGGACAGTGGCTGAGATGAGGAGGTTTTTCATTGGGGGATCTCCTGAGCTGGAGGACTTAACCTATGTCCGGGTACCATCGACCTTCAAGGTGGGCTCAGCTGCAGGGAGCACTTCCAAGGTGCTCTCATGCTGGGAAACGGTACATTATGGTCTCAGGTTCAGGATCTGTAGACAGCCTGGACCAGATTTGAACAAGGATGATCTGGTGGTCCTGTCCTTCTCACTAAAGAAATGTCTCCTCTGTGAGACTTGTGGTTCTGAACAGAGGAATGGGCAAGTGCTGAGGCAGAGCTGTGCCTTCTGAGGGGTGAGCATCTTAGAGAAGTGGGGAAGCATGGACCAAAGCTTTGACTTACCCCTGTCTGCAAAGTGTCAAATCAGCGTTTAGCACCAGCTACAGACTCCTGGGTTTCTGTGAGGAATCTGGGCTGTACTGTGCCTGGAATGGCTTCCCCAAGTGAGAAGCCAATGGGTGTGAGGCAGGCAGAAACTTCATGATCTTAAGAAAACTGCAGAGGTGCATGGTGCTGTAATGAGCAAAGGTGATGTTTAGTGCCAGCTTTGTGTGAGAACAAGCCCTGATGCAGTTCTTGAAAACTTCCCCCAGCACTGCACTCTTGGCTTGCAAGTGGTCCTGCCCTCAGCACGGCCTGGAACTATCTGCCCTTCTTTCTGACCTCACAGGGAAGGGAGAGACTGCACACAGGAGTTTGTGCTCCTGTTTTCATTGTGGGGTTGCTCTAACCTGTGCCATCCCTGCAGGGGAAGCGCCTGAGCCGCTTTGGTTTCCGGACAGAGACCACGGGGAGCGTCACGTTCCGGCTGTACTGCCTGCAGCAGTCCAAGTAAGTGCAGCAAAGGGAGCTCCAGGAGCTCCATCTCTTGTGCTGGTGCTCTGGCAGCCCTGACCTGATCCTGCTGTGCTTCTGTGCAGAGCCTTTCTGGAGAGCAGTGCCCTGAGGCAGCGCATGCAGAGCGTACTGGACCGGCTGGGAGGCTTCAGCCAGCAGAGCTCTGTCTACAACGTTCTGGGTAGGGCCTTTGGTGTTGTTCTCACTTTGGCTCACTTGTGCTCCCTTCTTACAGAGTGGGCAGGATATTTCAAGAGAATCCATTACTGTGGGGGTAATTCCCCTCCCTGTGAGCTCTCAGAGTACAGAGGTTTAATATTCTGCTCTAAGCTGGAAACTTCAGGAGGCATCAGCTCTGAGCAGGCAGGAGGGATAACCACTGTGTGAGGGCACAGACTGGGCTGCCCAGTCTTGCCTGGCACTGAACACAGCTGGTTGCACTGAGGCACTGGCCCTGTCCCTAATTCCACTGTGCACAGAGCAAAGACAGTGCTGGAGAACAGGGAGCAGCACAGGCCAGGTGCTTTTACTTAGTCGTAGGAAGTGGGACTCCTGCACCAGGAGAGCTGACACATCCCTGCCTGTCCCTGAGGCTGTCTGATGCATTCTGTCCTGCTGTCACCTCTGTGTTGTAGAGGCCTTCCAGCGGGCACGGCGCCGGATGCAGGAAGCACGGGAGAGCCTTCCTCAGGATCTCATCAGCCCTTCTGCCTCCTCCATGCCCCAGACACAGGACCTGTGAGCATCCTCCCTCCAACACAAGCTCCCTCAGCAGCAGTCACAGTGCCTGGAAGCTTCAGAAGCCCTTCCTTTGTTGTTTTCCCTGGATGGGGGAAGGAGTCTGTAGCACCTCCAGACCCAGAATCTTTGCATTTCCTCAGGTACCTGTGGAAGGAGCACATTTCTTTCAAGGCCCTTTGTTACCAGGCTGTAACAATACAGCCAATTGTTCACATTTCTGCTGAGCAGAGTGAAATACTGACATGGGACCTGTGAACCCTGTAACACCTTTTTCAGGGATTGAGTAGTGAATAATGAGAAAAATTGACATGACTTGGTAAATTTAGTTTTCTTCTTAAAGAAGAGAGTGGTGTTAAGGGATGCTGTTTGATACTAATGAAATGAGTAGATAACTTCTTGAGAAGTGCTGATAATTGTTAGCTATTGTGTATAGGGCAATCAATAGTAAAATGAATTCATCCACCTCTGCCTTAAGACTGATTCATTCCTAGAGAGAGAGCTCTATTCCACATGGAATATATGAAATGAAAGCAAGGGAAGGACATCTGATGGATGGGGGACTGGGCAGAAGGGTTACATTCTGCATTTCCTTGTGTGTGCCCATAAGTTCTGGCTCTGCAGTGATGAGCAGGAGGATTCTTTGTTCAGGAATACAATTGAAAACACACACATTCCCCTTGGCTCATCACAGGGCATTGGCTGGGGCTGGCAGGTTTGCAGGCAGCGAGAGCAGGTGATAACATTTGCACAGCAGCTGAACTTTGAACTGCTTGAGCTGTTCATTTGAGCTCTGCTTTGTTGTTCCTTCTCTGACTGCAGAGCACTGTGGTGCTTCCTGGGGAAGCTTGTTGTGTGTACCCACTTTCTTCTGTTCTTTTCTCATTTTTTCCCCCTGTTATTATTCCTCTCTCAAGTTCAGAGGAGTGAGGCTCTCTTCAAACTGACAGTGCTGTGTTGGTTTGTGCACCAGTCACATTTCCACGTGTTCTCATCTGTTCCAAACATAAAGGATGGGAAGAAAAATCTCAGGCTGAGACTGTGCAGGTCTGAATGTGTCTGTGAATTTAGAATTCACAGACATGATATGAAATAAGAAATGACCATCCTCCTCTTGCTCTGCTCGTTCCTCCTTCACAGGGAACATGAGACTTGTGGTTGCAGCCATGTATGGTGTTGTTAGAACATCCCCCTCCTCCCCAGTGCTCTGTTGTCTTCCTCACTCCCTTCCTGCCATTTTGAGCTTGCCTCAGCCTTCACTGGGAAAACAAACTCCAAAAAGGAGTCAGAATTTGTTTCTTCTTGACCTTTGTCATAATTCCTCAATCTATCTGGCAGCTTGAACCTGGCAATTTCAATTATAAGGGGATTTTTCCTCACTTTCCTTGCCTTCTGCACCTCCTTTTGATGGAGAGGCTGCCAGGATATTTTGGAAGCATGGCCTTTGTGGCAGAGCAGTGTCCTCAGCCTGGAGCTGGGGGATGTGTCTGGTGGCTGTGGAGGCACTGCCTGGAGCTGGAGCAGCAGAACTGAGCTCTGTGTGTGCTGTCATGGCCTGTAACGACTGACCCAGGATGAAAAGCATTCAGTGAGTATGTAACACTCCTTATCTGTTGTAATCATCATTCATGTCGTGGCCTAGTGTGTTTATTACATGCAAATCTTAATTTCCTTCTGGGTGTTTTTGTGGTGCTTATCACCAATAGCTGAACTTCATCTCTCTTGAGACCCTTCTCAGGGTGGAGTTACAAGGTTAAGAGAAACGGTTTTTTAATCAATAAAGCAAAAAAACACCTTTCTGATTGAGATTATGCCAATGGCAGATCATATCAGGTGGAATTTTTGGATGAGATCAGGTTCTTGACTCATTGCCCAGCACAGTTATATGGCAGGATTTGGTGTATTGAGTGCTAGGGTTACACAGAGATGCAGTAAGATTTACATAATGATATTATTTTGCTACTTAAAACTGTGAATAGTGTAAAATCTTGCAGAAACCCGAGAGAGGAAAATTTAGAAATTAAAAATTATTAGAACCAAGCAAGCAATCCTTCCAAAGTAAGAGATTGTTTGCAGTTCTTCACCTTCGTGCTTGTAGCCTCTTTGGCTTGACAGAATAAAGTGGTGCTGATAAAAGCTGGTTTGGAGAGAGCCTTCAGCAAATGTTCTTTGAATTTGCCCTTTTATAAATTAAACTAGCAAATTTCCATATACATGTACATGTATGGAAATGTCACTGATCTTTTAATCACAACTGGCATTTGTGCTCTGAGCCTGCCAAGGGAGCCAGGCTGGAGGGGAGGTCCTGCATCCACCAGGTGTGCACAGCTGGAACAGGAGATGGTCAGAGGGATGGGGCACCTCTGGCACGAGGAGAGGCTGAGAGAATTGGGGTTGTTCAGCCTGGAGAAGGGAAGGCTTTGGGGTGACCCAGTTGTGACCTTCCAGTACCTGAAGGGGGACAACAAGAAAAATGGAGAGAGACTATTTACAAGGGCTTGGAATGACAGGACAAGAGGGAATGGCTTCACACTGACAGAGAGTAGGTTTAGATTGGATATTAGGAAGAAATTCTTCCCTGTGAGGGTGGTGAGGCCCTGGCACAGGTTGCCCAGAGAAGCTGTGACTGCCCCATCCCTGGAAGTGTTCAAGGCCGGGTTGAATGGGGCTTGGAGCAACCTGGGCTAGTGGAAGGTGTCCCTGCCCATGGCAGGAGGATTGGAATTAGATGATCTTTAAGGTCCCTTCTAACCCAAGCCATTCTGTGATTCTACGATTCTGTGGCTGGATTGGGGTCGTGCATCCACCAGATGGGCACAGCTGGAACAGGAGATGGAATAGGAGATGGCTGTGGGGACAGGCAGGAGGGGAGCCCAGTGCCCTCTCTGGAGCCATGAGGAGCTTCCTGCCCAGAAATGTCCCTACAGTTTACACTGGAGGGGTGCCTGTGCAAGGAAACTTGGCAGGAGAAGGGAGAGGAAGGACCATTGTGGGTGCACAAGAGCTTAGGGTAGATGGGAACGAGTTAATGGAACAGGGGAGCCCAGAACTGAAGGTGGAGGGAGGCTGGAGGGCAGGAGGAGCCTTTGCAGCAGGCACAGGTATTGCTGCAGACTCTTGCAGGGCCCAGAGTAGTGGGTCTGGCAGTGAGACCTGGGGGTCTCTGTCCCAGTGTGTGGCCAGCAGCCCCCCTGCTCTGGCAACACCAGCTCCAGCAGCATAGCTGGTTTCTCTGGGGCTTTGTCTGCTTCTTACTTTGGGCACACTGAAGCTGTGATGGGTTTTTGAATGCCAGCTGAACTGCCAGCTGAATGGGCATCTCAGTCTGAGTCTGAATCCTGCAGCCTCACCAGCACTGTGGGTGCGTGGGGGCAGGAGCCCCTCGGGTCTTCTGGGGTCTCATTCCATGAGCTGTGCAAACAAAAGGGAATGGTAGGAATGGTGGGTAGAAAGGCTGTGGGCAGTTGTCAGTGACAATCAGCATCCATTAGAAATTCCAGTGAAAATGTAACAGAAAAAGAAAAGCTAGAGATGAGTCATTCACGTGATGGGAACAGCTTCCCACCAAAGTCAGACCGCAGGAATGGGATTGCTCTCCTTCGAGGAAGATTTGGGCTGTGGTAACTCCAAACTAGGGACTTGCTAGGAAACCTCCTTGCTCCTTTGGCTTGGCCCCATCCCAGGGCTGGGGATGTGTGCTAGGAGATGCATCCTTCCTTTGGGAAGGATGCTGGGATGCTGGGATGTGCACCGGGAAGGGTGTTGGGGAAGGATCTTGGGGATATGCACCAGGAGGGGTGTTTGGGAAGAACGTGGGGATGTGCACCAGGAAGGGTGTTTGGGAAGGATTCAGGGATGTGCACCAGGAGGGGTGTTTGGGAAGAACGTGGGGATATGCACCAGGAAGGGTGTTTGGGAAGGATGCTGGGATGTGCATCAGAAAGGATGTTTGGGGAAGGATCCTGGGGATATGCACCAGGAAGGGTATTTGGGAAGGATTCTGGGATGTGCACCAGGAGAGGTGTTGGGGAAGGATCCTGGGGATATGCACCAGGAAGGGTGTTTGGGAAGGATTCAGGGATGTGCACCAGGAAGGGTATTTGGGAAGGATCCTGGGGATATGCACCAGGAGAGGTGTTGGGGAAGGATGCTGGGATGTGCATTGGGTGGGTTGTGTGGGAAGGATTCTGGAGCGTGCATCGGGAGGGGTGTTTGGGAAGGACCCAGGGCTGTGTCCACAGTGGAGCTGCAGCCCCAAGCAGAAGATCTGTCCTTCCTCTGCCTGGTGTGTGGGGAGGGAGAGGAGTATTTTATGTGCACCATGGGCTTTAAGTGGTCATTTTCAAACAACTACCAGAGGCTGATTGTTGGATCAATATATTTTAATTTTAGCCACGGGGTTGGAGTAGCAGAGGAAGGCTCCTGGCAGCAAAGGGAAGCTCTGGGTTGCTTTGCCTCTCACCCCCCTGCTGCCATTTTATTAATGCTCATTGTCCTCCCAAGGTGCAGCCCACGTTCTCTGCAGTTAATGTCAGTATTTCAATGCAAGGCAGAGTAGAGCTGACCCGAGCAAAATCCCACTTCATCGGATCAGTCAAGAAATAAGTGTCCATGTGCCCTGTTCCTGCACTGGAATGATTGCTTTGGTTTGATTGAATTTCTCTCACTGCTTTGGTTTGAGCAGGTTTTTAAGTGCACCCAAGTGCCGTGTAGGCTGGAGGTGCTTCCCTTTCTCTCTCATCTGTCAAAATCATTTTCTGGAGTAACACAAAAAATCAGAAAGGACTGACGGAATCAGACTTCGCTATAATTTATTCACAAGTTCTTGTACTTAAAAATAAAATCATCTGACTTTCACAACAGTTGGGAGGATTTCTACAATGTGTGAAAGTGAAACTTGTCTTGGAGGTGTGTAATTCAGGTTGTTTCAAGTTGCAGACCTGAGAATGAGAGGATCATCCTTTGGGAAGGTGGGAAAGGTGGGTTTCCCATGACTTAATGTGACCTTAGAAAGCCAGAAAGGTCGAGCTGGACATCAAGGTCTAGTCCCCGGCTTTCCTTCAGGCAGCATCACTGTGACTGTTTTTCAGCCTGTTCCTTACATGAAGATAGAGACTACAGATCATCCCTGTCACATGTTTTATTTTCCTGTGCAGAACACTGGCAGTGGCAGCTTGTGCCTGTTGTCAGGCTGCTGCTGGAGGTGTGAGGAGAAGGAGGGAGCCCCTGATTCCTGCCAGGTGGTTACTGTTTCTCCAAGGGGTTCCCGTCCAACACTGCCACTGCCTGGGAGATCTTGTTCCCTCTGCTCATGTACTTGTGAGCACCATGATGCTCTTACAGCTCTGGACATGTCATTGGGAATGAGAGACCAGATGGAGGCCACAGTTTCCTGCTGCTGCTGGAAACACTGAGCACTTCCAATGTCCAACTTTTTCCACCATAGATGTGCTCTCCCTCTTCCC